GAGTTACTGACTGTGCTTCGCAAAAGTACACATGTCCACAAAGTGGACAAATTTTGAAAAGCTCTCCAGGCAGCAAAATTCTAAAACTCAGGAGACTATCTAACGTGTAATGCGAGAGAATCAAGAGCCAAAGCAACAGTTGGCTCTGGTGCTGTATCGTTTAAGTACACTTACAGCTGCCCCACCTGCGTCTTTTCCACCCCTATCCATCTCCCTTCTATCATAGAGCCTGATATGGCAGCCGAGTCAGGGACCGATATTATAAATTCATCCTTACAGCCCACAAAAAAAGAAAAGAACAGAGCAGCCCGAGTCATAGGAAGATGATTTTAAATGCACCAGTCAAAAAATTCAGAAAGAACACCGGGAACTCAAACAAAAGGTTGATCTAGGCTTCATGCAAATCGCTGAACGCTTCATTAGGATATAGATTATTCTATACGTGTTAGTTGCTCGGCTCGAATCTTCCCCTCAAACCTCTCCAACGCCTTCGCAGTCCAAACCCCCTACTGCACTCTTGCGTCATCCTCACTCTGCATATGGCAATGGGATTGTCGGGAATTAAGAAACAAGAGAGACAACATCTCACTTTATATACAGCGGTCTACACGCTGTAATCTTCGTACAGTAGCCCTTAAAAGCATGCAAACCTCTCGGCTATCAGGCTGTACATTCGCATCCTAGCTCCCCGGGGGCCGCCACATACAGGAATATCTCGTTTATAGCGCATGATCTCTCCGATCTTTACAGTGACTGCCTTCTTCTTGAACTTCTCCCGCGTCGTACATGACAAGGCACATATTTTATTTTAAATATTTATTCTCATCCAAGAGATGGCCTCACTGCTGTTTTTGAAGCGATCGATAGGGCCATCCAAATAGCAAGCTCCACTCTCATAGTTGTAACGGGTGATTTTAATGCCCCGCACGTAGATTGGGGTTACAGGAGAAACACTCGGAAGGGCACCAGCCTTTTTCAATACATTCAGCAAAACAGGTGCATCCTAGTCACTGATTGCATGCTATCAACGCGCATTGGCAACAGTGTGAGAAGAGATACCACCCCTGACCTTACTTTCACTAAGAACGTGCGACAAGCTAACTGAACACACAGTGCAGTCCACGTCGGCAGTGATCATTATATCTGAACAATTACATTGTCCCATACCAATTTTGGTCCACAGTTTTATTTAAAACCTATTGTCGACTGGGACAAATTTCGTAAAAACCGAGACCGAAACCCGAAAAAAGAAATTCAGAACTACAAAGACTGGGCATCTAGCATAACCAGGCTCTTAGCGATAAAGTAGCTTCAGCAGCACATATGCGTGATCCTGTACACAGCAGGCTACTCCGCCTATGGGAGAGGTCTTTGAAGAAACGATGGCTCAAGCAAAAATATAATCCCAAACTAAAACGAAAAATAGCACAAACGCTCCAGCTTGTAACTGAACATGCGGCCGAGCTTTCATCGCACCAATGGAACCAGATATGCTACCGACTTGACGGCACTCTACATATGAAGAACTCCTGGTCCCTGCTTCACCCATGCTCCTCGCGATCTGAAAGTAATAAGCTAATTACGAAACTCCTATTTAGGTAAAGAAACAAGGACAAGACATTGAAACTGCTCTTAAAACTATGTATTTCCCTGGCCCAAGGCGAGAATCGTTACCTACCTACAAAGGAGCTCCCAATCCTGCAGACTTAGATGAACCGATTGCAGAGGCGGAAGTTTGGGCTGCACTAAGCAAACTTCGCACCACATCCGCTCCAGGACTAGATGGAGTTGCGAACAAAACACTCCGACATTTAGACTCCAAGTCTTGGGCTGCTCTTACCGATTACATGAATCAACAGTGGGAACAGGGCACGCTGCCCCAGGAATTGCGGTCAACTAAGGTGACTTCAAACATAATAAGCCGTTAGACCTTAATATTTTGAGACCGATTTCTCTTACCTCATGCACAGGAAAATTGATGGAGAATGCAATTCTCAATCGCCTTAACCGCTACACGGGAAAAAAAAACTCTTTCCCTTCATCATGCATGGCTTCCGAGCGGTACTCTCTACTCAGAATGTCATGCTGCAGCTTAAGGAGGATGTGCTAAATCCTACTTTCCCACACATCACCAGAGCCATCCTCGCATTGTAACTGACAAAGGCTTTCTATAATGTTTCTCACTCCTCGATTTTACAATCTCTTAGCGAACTAAACGAAGGCTCTCGTACGCACAGGTATGTCACTGCCTTTCTCAGCAACAGGTCTGTCCGCTTAAAATTAGGCACTTTCAAAACCGACCCCTTTACGCTAGGTAGTAAGGGAACGCCCCAGGGATCGGCGTTGTTCCCGTTCCTTTTTAACGTTACTCTCATGCCGCTAGCGCGGAAACTTGCCAAACTACCTTCCACCAATCACTCTTTGTACGCGTATGACATCACCATCTGGGTCAATTCCGACTACCATGGCGAAATCGAATCAAAGCTTCAGTTGGCCGCTGACACTGTTAATTGTTAAGCACGCCAACAGTATTGGGCTCACCTGCTCGGCGAATGAATCAGAACTCGTAGTAATTTACTTTAAAAAGCAAAAGACATGTGACATTCAAGTCATACTTCAAATAAAATCAAAATTTTAGGCCTTAATATTTCCGGCAACGGTTTCAACACCGACACCATAAAGTTAATCCGCACTTCATTCCACAATGCAGCTTCCCTCATTAAGCGCATCGCCGATCGTCATAGCGGCCTGAGGGAAGCAGACACACGCCACCTCATTCATGCCTTATGCATATGCAGAAATACCTATTCCATCCCTTACCTCTATCTATACCGAGCAACTTGACAGACTCATTCACTCTGCCTATAAAACTGCTCTCTATCTCCCTAAACCAACAGCCACGGATAAATTACTTCAACTTGGGCTGCACAACCTTCTGGGAGAGCTTGTAGAGGCGCATCTTTTCAGTCAGTATGAAAGATTATCGCTTTTCAAAAACGGGTCAAGTACTCCTGCGCCGACTTGGAATCAACGTTCCTGGTCACGCACGCAGTTCCAGTCGCTGTTAGCCGCAACCTTTTAATCCCGCCACTCCCCGAAAACACTCACCAAGAACATAATCGAGTGCGACGGGAAGCTAGAGCCCTTCACAAGCGCTGCCCTCCTAATTCTCCCGCAGTCGACACGGCCGAATACGCAGATCATCGAGCTTTCGCCATAGCCGTTGTAGACGGATTTCAAAAACTGGTCGCTATTGCGTCCCTTCCAAATTCGACAGAATCTCTGGAAGGAGAGGAGGTGGCAATAGCTTTAGCCATTGTTCACTCTGCCGCTGAGTATATTTTTTTTCGGATACAAAAACTGCAATTCGTAATTTCGCCACTCTCGAAATTCATTCTCCGGCAGCTAAAACTATTGAATTATCTTCTCCACTCGATCGCCTCATCAGCCTCCTCTGGGTCCCTGCGCACTGTGGACACCCAGGCAACACGGCCGCTCACACCCAAGCATGAGCACTCGCCAACCAGGCTCACAGCGACCTGCCTTTGCTTCGAAGTGCCAGAGATCGACTCCTCAGATATCCCGATGTGACGCTGTTTTACCGAAATTCCTGTCTAGCGTACCCCCCACCACATAAATCTCTTTCAGAAGTGACCAGGTTTTGTGGCGCAGACTTCAAACGGCCACAGTGACGGCATCATTTTATTCTCTCCATTTCACGCATGGTGAAACCTTTCCTCATGGAAACTTATGTCCCAGCACCAGAGCCGACTTCCATTCCGTATGTTTAAGTTGTCCGAACAAACCCAAGCCCCCGTGCCAAGAGTCAGAACACCAAGAGCGATGGGAGGCTCCTTTGCACAGCTCGCAACCGGGGTTAAAGCTCCGTACTGTGAGCTGACCCAAAAGGGTCGCCGAAGCACAGAAGTGTCCGGCCACCAAGAGCAGCTCGACGGCCCGTCGTCGTCCTGCTTTCACTTCCCCTGCCACTCCCCATCACATGATTTTACCATGGATCAATAAAGTTGCCTATTTATCTCCAGACATATGCAATCACTTTACTTTGCGCGTGCACCACAATATGCAAATCAACCAGCCCTTTCTTGCACGTCCTTCAAGCACATGAAAGGCGCAATCACATATCATCGCACGGAAGAAAATTTGGTCCGACAAGGCGCAGACAAGCTTAATTTCCGCTGCCTTTTGGCTGCATTAGGGAACCTCCGGGCCCTCTCGAATTTTTATCCAGTTTATTGTCGTTTTTTATTCATAACCTTCCGCGGAACACACGTGTTATACTTATAAAAAATGGTAGGCATGCGTACTTCGCGAATGTATTGGTTACCAAATTGTGTTGTTATCACAGGCGTATGCACAGCAAAAATTCGTCTGAGCCCCCCATTCTGTGCACACGCCTCTGCTTTTTTATTCCTAATATTGCTTTTATGCTGACAAATTCGTGAACATGGGGTGGGAGCTGGAGACGACGTTTTGAAAAGTGGTCTTCTTTTAAATGCGATATACGTTTGAACTCAGTCTGACTTGAAAATCGTGACTAATAACTTCCGTGTTTTCTGTTCTTTGACCCTTCAGCTTATCGCCTTCGACTATATATGTCCGATGAGCATTCGCAATATTGAACCATATAAACACTCATTCATTCATCCCTATGGTAAGAAATAAGAAATGTTTTGCTATTCGCTTACTCACGATTTCATGCGACATCAAACAGCGGTGGACCAAAAGATGCTTCTATAAGTAGCCACGGACGCTGTTTAAAACTACAACAGACGACACGGTCACTGCCTTAGGATAACCCAGTAACATCTGCATGTATGCATTTAAATTTAGAATTAAAAACCTTGAGTAGACGTATAAGTATTAAAAAAAAAGATTACCTAATGACGGCATATTTAAACGATTGCTAGATATGAGTCGCCATCTGCGGCCAAATGGCGAAGCTTGACGGCCGCAAAGGAGCGATCAACCGCCAGGCATGCATGAACGAAGCAGTGAGGATGCCAGCAGCTGCCCCTTTAACGTTGGTTTCGCTGCATTAACGCTGATCCTCCGTATCCCGCTGCTCCAGATCAGCGCAGGTGGCAAGATCCGAGTAAAGTTTATTTTTCAGGGACTTTAGATCCGAGTGGCTGCGCAGCGGCCTCATTTAATCAGATCTTTCTTAAACGGCACCCCTGTGGGCCGCATGTAAAAGTGACGACGAGGATCCGGGAGATCGCGACGACAACGGTGAGATTTTGTTTTTTGTTCCCACTGTCTTTCTTCCTCACCTGACGTCAGCGTCAGCGCTTATCATATGCAGTCCCGTGCGCCCATGTGGTACTATGCTGTTATCGTGCGAGCCGAGATATTTTCCTCCGCGTGGGCGTCTTCTTCGTCGGCGCACAAGCGAAGTGGCCAGCAACACGATCGAACGTGTGTTTGATGTTCGCTGTAAATTGAACTGGTTCTCGGGACATGTGTGCTATACTTTTGCGGTAGCATCGTGGCGTGGCGGATTTCGATAGAAATTGATGAACAGTTGCCCTGCATTGAATGGGGGACACCAAGCGCTCGCAATATTTTTTTAAATAGTTACCTAGCCGCAATTTGTATATTTGTATGACCTGCGGGTATGTGCCTTAGAGCGGCGTACGCGAAAACAGTCAGCATAAACGTGTATGTGCCAAAAAAATCAAGTGCCACTCCTCACCACTAATCAAAAATAGAAAAAAAAAACTTTCATCATAAAGTGGGAACAGAAATTGGTTCAATCCACAGCTCACTCGTTTCTTAAAAATTGAGAAGGCAACTCTTGGCCCAACAAATGGCTGTGAAGGGATGGCGGTGAGCCGAAGAAGTACTCGAGTAGGTGCAACTGCAGAATGCTATGGAACGGGAAAGGTCTGCTGTGAGGAGACGTCGAAGCAGTTGGAGGCTGCCTACGACAATGTGCCTGAAGATCTATGATAGTGGCGAACACTTGGTTTCAGCGAGAGGCTCTGTCTATGGAGTTTGGACATCTATGCACTCGTGTGTGACCGTCCGTGGTTCAGCTGAGAATGTAGTAGAAAGAACCGAGCATCATCTACCTAGGAACGACTGAGAAGAAACCTAAAAACAACCTGCATTGCCTAGCTAAGACCTTGAAAGAAGAAAGCAGATTAGTGTCCAGAATCGTCCAGTCTCGCTGTTTCAAACTTCGTGCAGCTTAGTTCAGGCTTCGCTAAATTAAAAAAAAAAAAAAACACTTCTTTACGTATCTGCGTGCTCTCTTTCATGCGCAGGTTGTGTTGATGAAAAGCAAAATAAGACATCATTGGCAAATGACGTAGCAGCAACAATTTCTAATTAACATTGTATAATAGGTCATCTAACATAAAAATGTTCACTAGAGCAGTCATTTGAGCCGCCATAAATATATGCTCTATCAACGCAGTGCACTGCCATGACCGGCACAAATATGACACAGTCACACCGCATGTGCCACTGAGGAGATTCGACTTGCAGGAAAGCAATACATATATAGGTAAACGTACATAGTAAGTGGGATAGAAATTCTACAACACATGGCACAATTTAGGTGTGTAACTTTACAGAAAGGATTACTAAAATGCTGGCAAAACCTCTGAATGGCTGTCAACCAAGGTGCAAATATACATGTTGAGATTTTGGACAGCTAAGGAGAGCCCTGTTTATAAGGACTGCTGTGAACAGTGCTCACAAGTGAGGAGGGAGGGGAGGTGGACATCTCATCATTACGTATATCTTCACTTTGGTCAATGCCTACTAAATGTTTTTGCCAATTTTTGTCCAAACCAGGTAAGACCCTTAGCTTTGTCAATAAAATACACTAACTTCAAAGGAAAACGTTCGGTGCTCAGAAAGACAGTGCATTAGCCACCTTGATGACACAGCTCTTAGGTGAGCGTACTAGATTGATGGCATCAGTGATAGCATCACTTGCAACAATGGCATAAAAATGAGTCAATCTTGTGTAAAAATAAACTTGTATGTAATGAGTTCTACTGCTTCTGAAACACAACAAATCTGAAGGAGGGTGTTGTAGGTTGCCAGGAGATCTAGCCTTGTGATGTAAGATGGCATTCGTCCTGTCTCTTTCCAGGTTATATTAAAAACATGATCATTTTTTAGAAGTGAAGCACAGGTGCGTTAGAGGTTTTATACCTACCTACTAATTTTTAACACCTGTTGTAAAATGAATATGTCTGCTGCTTGTACTGGTGCATCGCAATAGCTGATGCACTTGGTTTACATTTTCACTATACATACTCAGTGGTGTGGCCAAACATATGGTAATGGAGGTATGACCCCCCACTCCCCTTCTACATTTTTAAAACTTTGCATGTGCATATATAAATATACATTACAAACACAAACTGAGCATACATAAAAGATAGTCATACACTTCTCCTCGCAAAAGCAAATATTCTAGCTACGCCTCTAAAAGTGGTGTTAAAATACTTTTCAACAAACTTGATTTAGGCTATGTGGCCCTGCAAGGATGAAGCCATTTCTAAATTCTTTACATGTTTACCCACACACACATGTCCACATATAACCTAAATATTGCCTTCATTTCATTAGCAACAACACTGTGTGTGTAGTCTTTGTCTTCTTTTGCCGAGACAGGTCATCTTTTCTACTCCTAGGGACACAGAACATCATTTATGATCGGAGACCCACTGCGTGATGCATGTGTCACTGTTTTTTTCTTGCTCTTTCATGTGCCATGTTGCAACCACTGGACGAGTTGCAAGTGCCCACATAATGTGATAACGGGATCGGATGTGTTCTCACATGACACCTCTCTCGCCGCTGGAGATTCGTTTGCTCTCTGTTAAAGCTTAAACAGGATGAGCAAGCATTTGCATAGCCTCGTTTTCTATTGCCAACCACTTTGCTCAGTAATACCGTGTCTACGGTGCTTGGCTCACGGATTCAATCTTGGCCCCAGCATTTAAGTTGAGGTAATGCACTGTGCCATGTTGGTGCATGTTAAAGAACACCAGATGGTCGAAATTGCTGTCTCTCATATTGTGCTTTTGGAACATTGAACCCAAGGTATTATTATGGATCGTGCAACTTATATGTGTAAGATTTCCACTTTAATTTTTTTTTTTTGGTGGCCAATCAGACATTGAAAAATGAAATGACCACTTTCTGTGCAGTGCTTTCTTGTGTCATGTTAAGATATACCTAAAGGCATCATTTGCAGTGTCTTCAATGAAACAAGATTTTTCAGCGAAGTTAAGGCTATGGTTAGCTCCTGTCAGGTCAAGATCAAAAGAAAGAACGATCACTCTTGAATAGGTCAAGATGGTATGATCAAAAGAAATACTGAAGGTTAGGTAATGTTGACGTTCTAGCTGCTTTGCTGCAAGATCATTCAATACTCTTGCTTGGTAGCAGAAACGTTGATGTCGCCCAGTCTTTTATATTGTGAGTTGTCTTCATCTTCCAGTAGACTTCCTCAGTACTGAAAGTGACTTGTAACTTAGAGAAAAGCATAAAATATTCTTTTTGACTTAAGCACAGTGGTTCTCAAATGGTGGTCCGCGCACTCTAGGTGGTCCAAGGAGCCATTTCTAAGATCCGCGAAACCCTCACCCGCATTTTCTTTTAGCGTGACTGTGGCACGTATTGATGACCTGTCTAAAACGAAGGGATGTGGCACGTTTGATGTTTTTGTTAGGAATGAAAGGCACCTGTTTCACACTCCAGTTGTGTTTTGACTTACCTATGTACCCCTCCTCCCTCACCTTTGCTGCAAGGGGTATCCCAGTGGCGTACCAATTCTTTAACGAGTGGGGGGGCAAACCTACCCCGCTCGTCAGCAGGGACACACACACACACACATGCACATACACACATACACACGCGTGCGTGCGCAAGCGTGCACACACATACACACACACATGCATGCATATCTGGAGAGAGAACTTCATCGAAGCACTGACACTTTGATATCAATTTGCATTCACTGAGGTGACGGCGACGCGCATTCTTAGATACCGCGAAATTCAACAACACTTTAACAGGCCGAGGACTGGCACCCTTAGCCCGATTTTCGTGTCTGATTTGTGACGCTCATCTTGCTATCATGCCTTTTTCTCTGATAAGCCTTTGGTGGTTACCATTTATAGATACCACAATAGTTTGTTTAAAAAATTAATCATGGTTGTTAGTTGTCCGGATAAAGATGTACCAAGCATTAATCAGGATACATTCACGTTGAACGGGTGTATAGCTGCCAAACACCAAAACATACATTCGGGGAACCCTTTGTCATAATTCTACAGCAAATATTTAATTAGTGCTGTAAAGGCTCATCTTACTTTCATGCTATATGCCGATTTCTATGACGGAAGGATCAACCATGTTTTTTCAACGAATCATTGCTGTTGTATTTTTTCATATTAAGTATATTATTACACTTTCTTGCTTGATTGATGCGTGTTTGTACTATAATTTGTCTTATTTTCTAATCATGTGAACACTGTTTCTGAAGCATGCAATCATAAATAATATTGCTATTGTTATATTACATTCATTACCTTTTCAACTTCTCAACCCTTCTATTTAAAATGCATGATTTGTGGTGTTAGGGTTGTAGTACATTGTTTACACTCCTTGTATATGTATTAAAATTCTTAAACAGGCCCCCATACACCTCCATGAATACGCCAATACGAACAGTGTAAACAAGTTTTTTCTATGAAAGACAAAATATGGGCATTTCTGAAGCTAAACTATTCCTCATTGCTTCCTTTCTAAATGGTCGTTAGCTGTATATGATTGTTATAAACAGGCTTTGTCATGCACACAGCACCGGCTTGTTATGCGTGGCAACAAATGACGCTAAGGTGATCCATCGCGTAATGATCACTTATGCGGGACCACATGAAAAATAGGGGAATAAACTATTTTCGATGCAGCATAATGTTACGAGTAACTTGTGTAATGATCTATTTACAGCGCACAGAACTCGACGAGCAAGATGGCCCCAGACCAGCATCAAACGAAAACTCTCTTCGTCCTCTTCTTTCATGCAGGCGTATTTAGCGGCTGTTATGTATCATAACCCCCGGCAGTAGAAGCACCGTCCCGGTGCTAAATTTACGTAGATGATGTCGAAGGGGGGTAATAGGGCTTTAGCCGAGCCATGTGAACGGTGTCGCTCGGAGCTGACGATGACTTTGTTGGATCGGTTGGAACAATCTCGTACG